GTCGAATGTCAGCAATCTACACCGGTCGTCCACCATTTTACCTCAGTTTTAAAAGCTCTACAACAATATAAAGCAAATTGTTGAAGATTTTATTTACTGTTTGACAGCCAGATAACATCTCATCCATAGCTCAGATGGCTAGATTTAATAGAGTTAAAGTGTTCTCTTGTATCTATAAAATGTATTCATCAACCGCCAACTTACAAGACCCAGTGGGATTTCATGTAAAAGTAAAGTCGTTGAGACATCTAATTACATCTTCTGTTATCAAGTCTTTATGGAAAGGTATGTACTTACAGATGTAAAAATACATTTCATAGATTCTTACATTGTTGCTCAAGTGGTTTAAAAAACTATTTGGTTAGAGTATTCATAAAACATTATTATAAAGTATGCATATTCTATGTTAATTAGAATTTTTTGTGGGATATCAGTCTTTGAAAATTTGGATGACATAGGAATTATCTCTAGGAGCATATACATAATAATACTAAAGGAAAATGGGGAGATTAGTGTATCGTAATCGAATACCACAGTGTAATTTTAAACATATAGATATCTATTCATTATTTACAAAACATTTAAGTAAATAACCTGTAACTGAGGTAAAAATGAGATCTATTTACTATAGATCCATTCAAATACGTTAGTAGTGACATTGCAAACAGTTCATCAAATAGTCGTTCTTCAATTTCCTGTTTATTCTCTGAAGACTGGGTTATCTTCAATTATATATATTTGATTTAATATTTTCAATCTATTAGTCACAGTTCCTCACAATCACAGTCGCTTACTGACTTGATCTTGTACAAATGTTATTTTCTATTTTAGGTTTTACTGGTTAAAGCGTTGTCAAACTCCAAATACCTGTGGCGTATTTAGTGTGATATAGTCTGATTTGTTTGTATATAAACCCAGGATGTTCAGAGGCTGATATTGGAGTTCTGGACTAAGAGAGATTATTATTTCCAGTAGATCAATAAGAACTTTAGGCTGCTTGTATAGGTTTATGCCTTCTTAGTCTGGTCGTGTAAGTCGGTGTATCTAATTGGCTGTTATATCACATAACATAATTAATCGGTCATAAGAACATAACAGTATTTATAGTTTTCAGTTGTTACAGATATAATGGTTAGAGAATTTTATTTTACTGAATACTTTTAATTTCAATTATTCATAAATATTATACTTTGTTCAAAATGATAATAGATTAATAAATTCTGATAATTAGTACATGTATATGAATAAGTGTGCTGTTATGAATAAACGTTTGGTTACAATATTTCATTCAATCAAGTTATACATACCTTAAATAAAAATTTATCATCATTATGAATAAGATAACCATAAGATTTAATTGTATCCTATTGTTGATATATTGACTAAAATTTTGATCAATCTTAGTTGGTATACATGTATCTAGTGTAAATCGTCTTAAAATAGTCCTTATGTTACAAGTTCACCGTGTTATAATTAGTTATTGAGCTTAATATAAATAAAATTTTAATCAATATTTATATGGATTCAATCTTATCCAGTTTTTGTATCTTTTTTCTAATGTTGATTATGAGAAACATTAGAAAAAACAAAAAAATTATTTCTTAAATAGTTTGTTTAATAAATAGTTCTATAGAGCTGATTAAATTTGAAGATATTTGTTAAGATATGAGAGAAGAAAAACTTTCAGGAGTAGAATGCTTTATTCTCTTGTAGTCAGTCAGTCAGTTACAACGTAGGATCAGACACATATGTGAATCGGTTCAAGTTGCCATACTTCATTAGCACAACAAGATGAACACCAAATTCATAGAAGTAGTTAACTCAGTGGTGGTAATATATAAAAAACAAGTTAATAAATTGTAATTAATCAGTTTCAATAGAAAATGAAGTATTCAAGTTTTATCCTGGTAATTATCAATTCATTTTTTTAAAAGTATTTATATTGGTCATAAAAACTTGATCAAGAAGCTTATCACTTTCAACAGTGAAAGTCTATCGTTCTGTACAATAATTGTTTTGTTTTATTTTTGTAATACACATCATATAAATCAGTGAGTACTCAAATTTCAAGATGTTTCATGGTGAGATTTCATGTTCATAATGATAGTTATTTTTCACTTCACTTGAGATTATTCATAGATGAAGAAAAAATAGCTATAATTCACAAGAGAAATTTCTAAAACTATGATATCTTTCTAGTCTTTTCGAAAATAATAGAAATTTATTAAGAGATAAATATTTACAACCTAACAGTAATATTTTCTTGAAAAGTGTTAGTTTTATTACATTCCACTAGTTAATAATAGATTCGGTCTATGTATGACTCTTCATTAAATCTCATGAGTATTTTTTTATTATTTAACAGGATATTTATTCAGCCATTACACAAAATTATGTAACCAAATGAATTGATACAAAAGTAAAAATACATAAAGTATCGAGTAATAAAAATGACAAAACGGTTAACACATAATATACTGACGGCCTTTAGTAAGTCACTCAAAATCAAGATAATATCTCATGGATTTTTGCAGGAAATTGAAAGTGGAGTGAAAGATAACTTGTATGTTAAAATGAACTAAGTAAAAAAAAATGGTCATATTCAGTCATTAAGATGCTTGAAGTTAGTGAAAATACCTATTACTTAACCAGAAAGTGAATATGATACGTTGTTCAGGTTAAATTATCAGGAATATTTGCTCCCTCCATGAATTGTATATCCAAGTATTTGGTGTGATTCAATGCACAGTAAAAGATGTTTGTATAGCTACATAATATTCTTCTACTCTAAATTTTAACTTTCTTAAGTTTATCAGCAAAAGTGTGGCGTATCTTCGTTGCATGATAGCTGATATCAGTTGGTGACGAAAATCCTATAAGGTTATAGCCCTAAATCACAACGCTGGCGGGACCAATAATATGTAAACTTAGCCTTTTTCTTTCACTACAATCAATAATTTAACAATCGAAGGTTAATTATTGATATTTAAACTAATATTCCGCTGTAATTTTATTGCTTTTGATAATTACTTGTTTTATAACTAAACACTGTTTCCTGATTGACTAATAAATGGTTCAAAGTTGTCGGTGCCCTTACAGGTCGAGCCACAACATACAAATATCCCAGAGGTGGTTTTTAGTCAATCAGGGCGTAGGTAATGAGAATACTTAATATACAGCATAGTAACTCAAAAATGGGTAGTTGGCGTTGGGACTAAGATTTAGGGTTAGAAGTCGAGTAATAGAAAACTTTGTACAAATATGGATAAATATTTACTCAATCATTTCTTCAATTTGGAAAACCTAGTACCTTCGGGAATTCATGGGATATAGTCTCGATCCTTTAGTATTCTCATATTTATCAGTATTTAGTTTCTTAATCTTGTTAGGGTTTACCCAACTCTTATTAAAGTACAAGTCATCCGTCATTATATTTTGAATTTTGCGCAATAATTCACTAGGCGTTATCATCAACATGACTGGTTGGTTGGCATGGTGTAGTTTCGACACATGAAGTGATAACAAACAAGGTTGCTTGTTTCCCAGTATTCTACATCCAAGATACCGGAATATCAGAAGACAATCCTCGACATATGATTGGTAAGATTTACCCATAAACATGAATACATAACTCACAAAGAATTGGTCAAACAATTTATGTTCATTGGTTTCATAATAGAATTGTAATACTCAAACCACATGACAGTATAACTGCAACTTAAGCATACACCTTAGCAGACGAATTGAAACGCTAACATTTAATCGAACTACTATCAATCAGACAAAGTTTGTCTTATTTACATTCACTAAATATACTGCCATATTGGTTCACTATATATACATATATTGGAATATTTCAAATAAGATAATCAGTATTTGTAGAATCAAATTGTAACAGTAAGTAATCGAATTAGTACATAATTAATTCGCAACATTCATTACTTTTTAATTCACTGTAATATCACCATGACAATAATTAGTTTGAAGCAGTACGTACTTGAATGATATTACTGATTTCTAATTAGGCATTAAATAATCATAATCTACCACTGTTCGTGATTATTCACTGAAAGTTTTTTAAAGGAAAGTATATTATACGGGTATTTATATGCTCAAATATAGATTGACTCAAAGTTGTAGCAAATTTTTTATTGTGTCTATCAGTAGAATGTTATGACAAAAGTGTCTTTAGGATAATATTTTACTGGATAGAATTTTCTGAGAACGGCAATTTGCCATAAGGTAAATTACTTATACATGATCACAATTAAAATGACACAAATACTAAGATTTTCACTCAAACATGGCCTTTGAAAGCAGAGGATACTTATAAGTTACTGAAACCTAACAATAGGTATATTTAAAATACTAATCATGAACCATAAAACAAAGGAGTGTGCAACGCTGAACTTAGTTAGATGTAGGATATTAAGCAGACAAGTTAATAAAGCTGCGAAGCTTTATCGACTGAGAGACGTGCAACATATACTGAACACCAAGTTACTTTAACACTCAATGCTATTTGGAACAGCAGATTAGGAGCAAGGTATGGTCAGCGAAGTCAAGGTGTGACTATTGGTCTGTAGATTTAGTGGCTCATAGTCCAAAAAACTGCTCTGGAAATTTTATTGCCCCTTAAGCCAAGGTTTGAAAATATATTTATCTTAACTTCATAGCCATTAATCTCAGATTATATTATTACTTCCATATTAATTCCCAAGTAGGCAACTTATAGTCAAGTTTTTAATTTTAGATAGTTCTTGTTACGTAATTATTTACTATCGCATCGATCACAATTTCACCAATAATATTTTATCAGTTTAATTACTTACAGTCGCTGGTTTCGACTATGTAACATTTTCTATTATACTATATATCATACACTCCAGATGAATTAAGATCAACAGTTTTTCAGTCCATAATGAAGTTACTACTTTTGTTTATAGTAACACAAACCAGTTTACATTACCATTATTATCACTTTAGAAAAAAACAATATATTAATGGCTTTAATTTTTATTATGGAAATTTGTTGAACCAAACAACAATCAACAGTTGGTTATATCTATCAAACGAATGAAATAGTGGAAATTTTTATTTATCATGGTTGTTTAATGTTTGTGGAAATTACCTTTTACACATTTTCTTTACTCCTTAAAATTATCCACGCCAACCAATGACAAGAGAAAGACAATGGTAGTCTCAACAGAATAAAGTAGAAGAGATGAATGAGTAGGCACACGTCTTTAGATATAAAGAACATTTTTTTTCCAAACAAAACAAAACGCTGTGTGTGATATGAACAACCAGTTATTTTATGTGGATTATTAGAAAAAGTAATACAACGTTCATATAAACAAAATGACATTGTAAAACATTATCATAACGACCACCGGCTGTACACAATTTTAAGCTTATCAAGAGGGCAAACAACAGTGAGATATTTTTGTATAATAGTACAAAATAATATCAATGAAATCACTTCTATGATGTAATTAAGAACAACGTGTTTGAGTAATAATTGTATTACCTCTTCGTATGGTTTGAGTTTGACAGTTTTGTTGACCTAAAAAAAGCAGTAAAAAATATGGCTACTATTTATCATGATTAAAGAGGTTTCCTGTTAAAATTTAGAATAATAATAATCAATGCACATACTACTGCCGTTAAAAAGATGATTTTTGTCGGCTATAAAACTATGACATCTTGACTAAATTTTAAACAAAGTGGTTTCCGAATATAGCATAGTTATATTTTGTTGTTTAGCTGTGAGATGCAACCTCCAGAACTAAACATAATAAGGCTTCAAACGTTCAATCACCAATACTTTGTAAGTAGTTTCTGTTTGCCAGGCTTTTGAACCGTTGCGTGATAAAAATTACAACACCGTCACATTATCTGCAAATATTCATTAACGTAAAATCTAGTACGGATGTGTATTTACTCATATGGGAATACCGTAAATCAGGATAGTGAGAGAAAAAAGGACTTAAATTTAATTGTCATGGAAATCTAAACACGCAAAATATAGATCAGTAAAATGCAAATGAGAAGGAAAGTTGGAAAGTTACGAACGGTACATAACTCAAGATTTGGAGGAAAATGGAGAGCAAATGTAACTGTTAAACTCCAAATGATTTAGTACTATTCCATCCAAAGCCTCCGTTCAACTACTGATTAGAAATACTGCACGAGTTCCAATCAGGAAATCTACACCGATCGACCTGACTCGGATCAATAGTTAATAAACTTATGATGCGATGCCATATTTTAATTTGTCTGCTCCTAGCCTTTTACCAACCCATTCAGCATCGCATGTCAAAGTAGGCATTTGTTATTCATGCGTGACACGTATTACACCCATCTTCAATAGATGGAATTGTATAACTTTATTACTCAAACTGCCGTCTTTGTCTAAAATAACACGCTTAACCTCAGCATTACTGACTTGTTTAGATCAATATAAGACATACATTCAAACACCACAATGATTAAATACTTGAAGCCTACATGTTTTACATTCACGGATCATGTTTCAAACGACTTACCTTGATGTCTAACAAACCCATGAGATTCATCTGATGAATGGAACATGCTGCCGAATGGTGAAAAGAAGCCATCGTCATCACCGTCATCATCGTCAAATAAACCACGAAAATTGAAGAACGAACCATGATCATCAGTATGTCTGTGCTGACGAAACATATCAAAGTTTCGGAAGAAACTATTAAAATCGAAATCTGGAGCACCACTTCCACCAGGCTGTTGTGTATAATAACTATGTCCAACACTATCATACTGTTTACGTTTTTCATCATCAGAGAGCACATCATAAGCTTGGTAAGAAGATGAATAAAGTAAGATATCGAGTAATACAAAGAGATCAGAAGAAATCCAATAATTTTACTACAGAACCTCTAAACATAGTTTCCTTAAACTGTATGAAAAACAATAGATTGACTCGGAACAATAAAATGAAGTTTTTATTATTGCAGTACGCTAATGGTGGTATGAATAGTAAGTACTGCAATAGATACGTATCAATATTAACTCAGTAAACATGTAGATGTTTGTTAGTGCGTAAATGTATCTCAGGAATCAGTTAGCTACAACGTAGGACCAGGCACATATATGCATCGGCCCATGTTGCCGTAACTCATTAGCACAAGATCAAAACCGAATTCATAGAAGTACTTACTTCAATGGTAGTAATACACAAAAAATTAGATTGCATATAAGAATATGAGAAAGAATTAGTTCGCAGAAAGAAAGGTAAAAAAGCGATTTTAACATCACGGTTTAAGGGAAGACGAAGTGTATAAACCTATGCCATTGTAATTGATTCAAAGCCATGTCACCTAGTCTCCAACCATTGGTTACGACAGTTGCGCGGGCCCCAACTCAGTAGACTGCATCTACCAACATGGCTCACATCAGAAGTCAGTGACTTCGTGGACTGATGCCATGTTTTGGTTTGGCCACCTCTTTTTTTCACAACCTCATCAACTGATTTGTCATCACTCCCTGATACCATTCGTCTAATTTCACTATTACTTATCCGGTGATCCCGGCAGATGCGAGCAATGTTTCTAAGGCATCTGTGGTCAAATACTAGTGGCTCACGAGTATCTTCTACTTTTAATAGCCACGTTTCGCAGTCGTAAAGTAGAACAGAACGAACTGCCACACAGCATACTCGTCCCTTAATTGACAGACAGATATCTCGCCTTCGCCATAGGTGGCGTAAGTTGGCAAAAGTCAAGCGAACTTTCTGAATCAGTGAAGAGATTTCGCCAGGCACCAACCCATTAGGACTGACCAGACTTCCAATATAAGTGAAGTTGTCAACGCGTAGTGTTCAAGTAAAGAACATTCACAAGGTTTATGTACTTCTAAGGTACGCCTTTCAACGAGACTGTCACAGAACCTCTTGGTCTACAGGGTCAAGAAAAACTATCATTGTCGGACGCTGATAAGCAAACTTGTGTTCTAAGATCTGAATAATGGCGAATATGTGGTCGATGCAGCCATGACCAGGTCTGAAGCTAGCATGATTTCTTCGCGTTTGCAGTTCACGAGTCTTTGTTAGGCGTCTGATAATTATCAAGGTTAGTATTTTAGAGGCTATTTTGGACAAAATAATCCCACCATGGTTATCACAGGATGATTTTGACCCCTTCTTATGAATTGGGACAACAAGTGATTGTGACCAGTCAGATAGGATTACATCCAACCCCCAGATTTGAGCTAAAATATTGGTCAATCTAATCGCTGAAATTGGACAACCATCCTTAAAGACCTCTGGAGCCAATCCATCCAAACCAGCTTCCGTTCCTCATTCCAGATTAGCTGTAGCCTTTGGAACTTCAGCTAGAGCCGGGAGACTTACTTCAATGTTCCATTCAGGCTGTTTGAGAATGATGGGTAGTTGCACCTTAAAGGGTTCCGCTCATCGTTCTAAACGTCTGAGCTGAGAGCAGATAAGAGTGTCGTCTTTTTCCGAGATCGTCTTACACTTGACTTCTTAATTCCGGTTTCTTTTATCATTTTGAAGAGCTGTCTAGTTTACCTATAACTGCTGCCTTTTCCATCTCTTTCGCTTTCGTTAACCTCCACTGCGCACAGACTTTTAGTTAACCAAGATATGGTTTCTTTTCGTTCTTCATCGTGTTCGGAGTCTGATGGGATGAGTTTACGAGAGTCTATCAGTGTAATACATGTTACAAAAATCCACTAGGTCTTCGTAACCATTTGGTTCAAATCACTAACAGATGTCAGTGCTGTTTTCACAAATGTTCGTATATTTTTCTAAGCAACATCTGGGTCAGCCTCGTTTTCACAACTACCTAGGTGTGATCTCAGGTGTTCCTTAAATCTACTTTTGGTTTTCTCGTCACTCTAATGCGTTTTCTTAATGTGGCTTTTCTGAGCCCGGGTAGACGCAAGCAAATTCGTGCTCGCATTAGAGCATGATCAGAGTCTAAACAAGTACTCCAGAATGAGCAATAGCCTTCTATTGAGCCTCTCCAACGATGACTAATGGCAATATGGTCTATTTCATTGTTAGTTTGGTGAAGGGGGTCGTCATGTTAGACGATGCCTCTCCTCATGCTTAGAATTGGTGCTTGTTAAAAACAAACGATCGTCTGAGCACAGCTGCAGTAGACGGTCACCATTATCTGTTCGCTGAGCCAGAATACACAACTACCCACCTAAATGTCTTCCCATCTGGTTTAATCTACCTACTTGGGCATTAAAGTCACCTACTACGAGTACTGCGTCTGAGTGCTTAGATTTTTGAAGAACTTTGGGAAGCTCTCTGTAAAATCCATCCTTCACTTCGTCCGGGTTACAGTCAGTGAGAGCGTAAGCAGAACTGACGAAAACGCAACGCCGTGTGTCCCTATCCCTCCAAGTTCTTATGGAGCCGTTTAGCCGAACAGCATATAGGCGACTGTTAACGCCAATCTATTCTAACAGTGCCTTCATACTTACTGCTATGCCTAGACATCAGTCGATGAGAACTAGCCATCTGGTCGCCAAATAGATGGAGGGTGAATCTGGTAGGCTCTCTGTTTTGGCGAGGTGAGGTCAAGTCAATGACCACATTAGCATCCTGTATACCTATTTTGGAGACAGAATACATCAATCGTACGAGATTCTAGGTTCTTAGACAAGGAGGCCTGTTGGCCGATTTGACACAGAGTAAGTACATTGAAGGCCCTAATGTGTGGTTTGGAGCCAGGTTTCAGTAGACTTGAGAGAGTATTTTGCGCACTAGAATCGTTGACCATGGTGACACTTGAGGAGGAAGTTCAGAGTTCAAAGTCGAGGTAGGAGGAATAATAGGAACCGAAGAGGAAGATTGATTACGAATACAGTGGTCTTGAGTGCTGTCAGAGGTATGAGGGCGGGTTTTACTTCCCGGTTGCACATACCGTGGAAGGGTTGTTCTGGAGGTACCTGAGGAGGAGATTGGGTTAGAGTTGGTCTTAGTGACCTGAAATCTTGCCCGCAGTGTCCAAGAGACAAGTGTACGAGGCAGGTCACACAACACCTTTATGTGAGTAATTTTCGTGTTAGCTCCACACTTGTTGAGACCTTACCACCGGAGACGGAAATCCATGGGATAAATTGAGGTGTGTATTTTTGGGGTCGACCTTTTTCTAACCCCCAGCCTTCACTTGTGGGAAGGCAGCATCGCTGTTATGCCGGTTGGCTGAGGGAAACACCGTACTGCTGTCACACCTCTGTACAGTCAACAGTACTTTACCCTAGGACCCTGGGTTTCCTGCTTTTAGTCTTACCGTTCTTCGACCGATCTGCGTGGCATGGTAGGACCTTGAGAAACGAATGTTTGAGACAGTATAGCCCGATTGGTCCGGGCTACCCCCCCCCACTAAACCATGGTGGGGAGTCCCATGGACCCTTTGGTTTAGTCCGAGGGGTGAGGGGTGCAGTAACGTTTGAGTACAAAGTTCTAAAAATATCCCAAGTTGTTTCAATTAGGAACTATCGTCTATCTATTGTCCAATCTACTGAAAATTCAGAGCGTTTAACACCCTTAACTTGGAGATGTAGGGTTTCACGAGCATAAAGCAAAACTGCCCTCACTGACGCGCTATAAACCTGATCTTTAACAGCCAGACTAACATCACAGACGCGCCAAAGATGGCTCAGATTATCATAGACCACTACTGTCTTGACTGTGACCACCGATCTCTCCAAAGAGACTGGTGTTCAAAAGGTATTCAAAATGTCAGTACCAGAGGTCTTCAATAAGAATAGGGTTGTAATTCAGACCAGAAATCTGAACATACTGTTTGCAATGATATAATGAATTAGATTTTTTATTTGAACACATTGGTACAAGGGGGCATCAAATACATATGCGCCACACAATGACAATGAAGTCAGCAGCAGTCAAAATTAGACTCAATGGGTTTCATACTGAGCATCATTTTCCAACAGTGAGATTAGGAATAAACAATGATAGGTTTAAAACCTGGTGGAATGGGATAAAAGATAGCTGTTCGCCTTCTCGTGGCGGGAGTGTTGTTTATGGAAATCAGAGGACGAAAAGCGAATGTTCGGCGCTTTAACCGGATTCCAAATCAATGGTGCACATGGGCTCCAGTATCCCGTGGGAACAAATGGCGTATGAACCAATCGTTGGTCACTGGCTTCCATGGGACCGCATCTCCTTACGATGCTCCACTGCCTTGTGGGTCAGACCTTCCAAACGAAGGCTCAGGGTGTGGTCCCCCAAGAAAACCACCTGCTTCGGTTTGGGCACCCGGGCAGTATCACAGCCCTCATACATATCGAATGAGATTTGTGTGGCGCATTTGTATTTGGTGCCTCCTTGTACCAATATCTATGTGTTAAAATAAAATAAATCGTCTATTATGTTTCCATGACAGTCTGAGATGCTATCAGACACAATTAAGCTAAAACTATGTGATACTACTATAGGAAAAGAATTGCCTTGATAATATGAACTTAAACTTCCTATTCCTTCATAAAATTGTGTTATTTCTCGACAATCCAGTGTATCAAAGTTTACTTGAGTAATCACTAAATCAAAAATGGACCTACTTCTACTTAACATTGTCTGTTGATAGTCAAAGCCCGGTTAGATGTAAACATACAGCGATGCCATGGTCAACAAACAAAATGAATTTGTGTTACGGGTGAACAACTTGGTACGTTTTTTCGAAAAGGTCAAGTACCAATGAAAATAAACTTACAGCGATGAAATGATCTCACTTACCTTCAGCAATTTTCAAAAACTTTTTCTGTGCGTCTTCATCCTTATTTTTATCTGGATGATATTTTAACGCTAGTTTCCGGAAGGCTTTTTTAACATCACTATTTGAGGCTGATTTACTTATCCCGAGAATGTCATAATAATCTTGTTCAGCATTATTTTTGCCAAGTAAAAATTCGAGTGAAAAAATAATGAATAAAACGAAATATCTGAATAAATCCTGCATGATCTGGACCTATAGTAAAATAGATGAAAATAAGGAATTTAGTTCAGTGAATATCATACTGGCAAATAAAATAGTTTTCAACTCACTATTAGATTGTTAAGTACGACCATACGATTTGAGTTTCTAGCCTTTTTAAATCAAGTCGAATGATTATGAAATAATACTAACTAGTCCTGTTTGGTAAAGACGCTGACAAAATGCAGAGTCTTCTGGTAGCACTGAGCAACAATGCCAGGATGTTTGGAATGCGCTTCTCTCCCTCTAAATGCAAGTTGTTGCTTCAGGACTGGTCTGCGTTAACACCTGAACTAAGGATAGGGAGTGAAGTAGTCGAACGCGTTGACAACTTCACTTATATTGGAAGTCTGATCAGCCCTAATGGGTTGGTATCGGACGAAATCTCAGCACGGATTCGAAAAGCTCGTTTGGCTTTTGCCAACTTACGTCACCTGTGGCGAAGGCGAGGTATCCGTCTATCAATAAAAGGACGAGTATACTGCGCGGCAGTCTGTTCTGTTTTAATTTACGGCAGCGAAACATGGCCATTAAGAGTAGAAGACACTCGTAAGCTATTAGTATTTGACCACAGATGCCTTAGAAATATTGCTGGCGTCTGCTGGGATCACCGGGTAAGTAATAGTGAGGTTAGATGCAGGGTATTAGGAAAGGATGGTAAATCAGTTGATGAGGTTATGAATCTTCATCGACTGAGATGGTTGGGCCACGTATTACGTATGCCTGAACACCGATTACCACGACGTGCAATGCTATCCGGTATTGGAAATGGTTGGAAGAAAGTTAGGGGCGGCCAAACCAAAACGTGGCATCAGTGCTTGAAGTCACTATCCTCTAGTCTGAGCCATGTTGGTAGATGCAGACTACTTGGTTGGGGTCCGCGTGACTATCGTAACCGATGGTTGGAGACTCTTGGTGACATGGCTCAGAATCGATCACAATGGCGTCGGTGTATACACTCCCTGTCTTCCCTTAAACTATGAGATTAAAATCGCTTCATATCTTTCTTTCTACGAACCAATTCTTTCTGCTTGTACTATATCTCTATATGCAATCTTTCTCTTATATATTACCACCTTTTACCTAACCACTGTTATGAATCTGGTGTTCATCTTGTTGTGTTGATGCGGTATGGCAACCTGGACCGATGCACATATGTGCCTGGTCCTACGTTGTAGCTGACTGACTGACCTAACTAGAGATAAAGAGTGGTTGTGATTTAGCGTTTTCGGGGTCCGAAAACTGTTGGATCACAGGACAATCCGTCCCTACCCACTTCAGTAAGGACACCCAACTAACATAATGAGTCTACCAATAATATGCGGACAATAGCTGAATTTGACAGTGTAAATGATCAACCAGTTTAAACGTAAATTATGGCAAAAAAACACCTGATACTAAAATTTTCTACTCGAAATCAATTGAATTATCGCAACAATACTAAGATGTGTTCCATGACGTCAAATAAAAAGATATCCAGACCATTTACAGATGCTTGAAACTAAAACATGACCGCTGGTGAAATCAATTTAACTTTCAAAACTATCATATGACCTTATAGATTTAATCAATCCTAACAGTATTAAATTATTCTAGGTAATTATCTGAAAAACTTAATTGTTGGTAACAGTTTATCTTCTGGGTCTACGAAAACACTTCATTAGAGATATAACTGTTTTATTCTAAACGTATTTCGAAAATAGCATGATTTTATGAGATATCAAAAAAGAATGCTCCAGATAATATAGCTGGGTTTTCGATGAAGTTGTGCAATTGTGACAGAAAACGCCCTTAGAGCTGATTGAAATAGATGACATTTATTAGGAACACTTAATGTTAGGTATATAGCAGTGGTCAAAACTAAACCCAGCTATCAAGCTACGTGAGACTTATAATGAACGATGTATCGACTGGCTGTAGAAACAAACATAAAAACCAATAAACGCAATTCACATAGGACGAATATTGGTATCTTAAGCAAGTTTCTTCTTCGCCATTGTAAAACTGGTTGTTTTCTACAATCCTGAAGATCAGTAGAGAAAATCCTGGCACACCATTTATAGCAATGAAAACTGTTTGAGTAAAACCGATCCCAAGAATGGATTTAAAAACCTGGATATTGAATCGAGAAACGTCATCCCAACCAAGCGATAAGTACTAATGCGATTACTGCTTACAGCTGTTCCTTATAACAATCAAGAGACATTTTACTCAATCCATCTTTAGTATTCGCATACACTGGGATACTCGAAGGGCAGTTTGGAAGTAAAGACCTAACGAATGAACTTCCGGTCTATATAATTCTGAACTTGTTTTAACAACAACACACTCAATCTTCTTGTATTTATACAGTGAATGGAAACAACACTGAGTAAGCTTAAATCAATAGATTTTTTACCGTAGCAGCCAAAATTTACTAAGATGTTTATTTGAAATAGTAAATTGCTCTGTAGGTTGTCAACTATAATGACCAGATAGAGAATTAAAGACTCCTAGAAATAATCAAACTTTGACAAATAGTAGCTAAATAGTTTAATTCACGGTTTAAAAAAGAAACAGTGGTACCCCTTAAGAGATACAATATTGTTACTTTATGAATCAGTAAAACAGCTATCAAATCTTCATGCAATAACGTTGATTTTGATGATTTAAAAAAAATCGAAGCTATTGTACCGTATGAAGAGATCATTGGAGCTTTCGGTGAGACTATAATTTATGAACGACATCTGAGTAATTCGGAAAGTCTGAAAAAACCCAACTGTTCATTAGGACCAAAAGAGGGCTATAAATTGTTGTAAAAAATGTGATGTACAGTTTTGTGTTAGGGTTAGCAATTAGAGTTCTTATCACGAATTGCAGACATAACATCAGCTATAATGTTATTCAACCATACAGATGAGTAAATTTCACTCAAAATCTTTGACCTGATGTCTTAAGCCTTATTGATTCGCCCGTAAATCATATTCTTATCGGCACGGATACTTAATAAAAAAACGCCGAGCGACATACACATATACCAGGGACCTTCAGGATTTAAAACTTCACGTAAACGTGTGTTATGAATGACCCATATTGTTTTAAACACTTAAAAAGTTGAAGGTAATACAATTCTCTGCGTATTTATTCAGATATAGAAGCTTTCTTTCAAGGAGTATGTTAGTGAGGAAGATAATCTACTATATGCTATAAAGTGAACGGAACTAGCAAGACCTATTTTGACACTTTATAAAATTAATTTCATTCAGCAAATTTATTTTCCAAAGAACTTCTCTGGGACATAAAGTATAATGTTGTGTGGCTCCACTGGCTGAATATTATCGCCTTTTTGTGGGGGACAGAAGTTTCTGGATTTGAATGAGGATGATGTTGAACCAAGATGTCCAGTGATTATCAGAATACAGCCGACAAACTGACGTCCAGTACATATCACTTACTCACTTTAGTTTGAGAACATATACTTTAACGGGGAAATGGTCTGGTAAATACGACGGACTATCGCAAGTCAGTGTACGCAAACCAACCAAACATCTACAAGCATATGGCATGTCTAAGCAAATAAATCTTTCGCGGACATTTTTACCAACTACCCATGCCAATAAGAATATGATTTACGGGCTTAAGACATCAGGTCAAAGATTTTGAGTGAAATTTACTCATCTGTATAGTTGAATAACATTATAGCTGATGTTATGTCTGCAATTCGTGATAAGAACTCTAATTGCTAACCCTAACACAAAACTGTACATCACATTTTTTACAACAATTTATAGCCCTCTTTTGATCCTAATGAACAGTTGAGTTTTTTCAGGTTCTTTCTGAATTACTCAGAGGTCGTTCATGTGGAGCTAAAAGTCGGAAACCTGTCACAACTCTCATAAGTGCAGTACAGATATTTTTCTACGTTAGATACTCTAGATCCGTAGTCCGAAAATCATCAGAATAACCTGTAGTGGTAGAGAACAAGTCAACTCCCGGATAAAGATAAAAATAAAGGAAGGAAACTGCACGTCGATTGAACTTTTTACAGTAGCCATCAAATAGTGGTACAAAGCAATCCCAAACCTGGAATCTTCAGGCCAAAAGGAAAGGAGGTAGACCTGCGGATTGTCAGTGTGTTGATCTATGTGTGCAGTCTGTTCAACCGAGATGAACGGCAGTGGCGTAACAGCTTACATCAACGTCACACCTCGCAGCTAATGCTTCACCTGGTTTTTCGTGACGCGATAATCAGGAGACTTGTCTCCCTTGGTGACTGGCTGTAGCAGCAGCATTCGCCGGTGAAAACAGATTGTGGCGGTACATAGGAGAACCATGAGACAGTCCATGGCTTGCCGTTGATTAATCCGTGTTAATTGTCCTTGACTTCATCAAGACAGAATAAACTGCCTATCATTCATTTTACCTACATGCAGAATTCTTTGGAGTGGACACAGTAACGGTTTAGAAAAGTCATCTCGAAAATATTTAGCAATCAGTGCAACGTTTTGGGCTTGAACGTAAAAAATCAGAATTAAAGGAGTGGTATCGACCAGGGTCATTTGTGCGTTCAAGTAACCACAGATTTCGTCATTTCATGATGTATTTTTAATTAACTAACTAGGTTATGTAGTTAATTTTGCTCTGTTTTTAATTTTTATTCGCCACGTACAACTGCGTTACACTGTACGTCCACTGCACGCTGGGATGATATCTCAAGTCATAGTGAGTTTATTCACATAGCTGATTGTTTCCAAATACTGTCAGTGCATGATTTTACTGAAGAAAGGTTTGTTGTACTGTAAACTATGTTTTTATGAACAACTGCCAGTTGTCTTCAGTATGAAAGCAGTATATATGTACCCTTCGTTTTCTCTTAGGTAAGTTCGACCGGCCTATATTTCGTGTTTTGGTTCTATCGGCTGAATTCTGTTCATTTGACTTCGTTTAGCAACACGTCTGTGCAAATGGAACAATAACCATGACACTTGCTTAGTTTAATATTCCTGATTGCCGTATAATTTCAGCTTAGTCTATAGAATTATAGTATACCTAAGTATAGTGCTTGAAGCCTGTAACGAAACAGATCAGTTTAGTAACTAGAGCTGCCTGTTTTTAATGAATATGCTGATTCAAGTCAGTCTGATTAAAAATAGGAAAAAAAATGCCTTTGGTACTGTTGCTGTCATACATTATAAGATAGCTTTAAGTACGTTTGGTGTTTATTTGTAGACAGTACGTCTAACACTGTTCATGTTTCAAAACCACTGTCATTATACGATTTCCTCAGCAATAACATCGGTAGCAGGACAGCTAAGTGTCTGAGCTTTTATTTGCCTGCAAAACAGCAGTATACAGTCTTAGATGAGGAGTGTTCTGTCTTAATTATATGCTGCTGGCTGTTGACAAATGTTAAAAGTCTTTTTGACAACTGGAACTTTTAGTTTACCAGATACTAAATCAACTTGTATATCTTCCTGTAAAACCAGACGCAGATTCATGGGAATACTTAAGTGGGAGCAAAATAATAAAAGCCGTGCGATGCTGTAATTTGCACACGTTTTAGTAACTGGCGTGATCTGATATTTATGAAGTCGAAGTAAATCACAGCTGCATAAATTCTTTCCTTAGAAACATGTAATTTGTTTATTTACCTTTTCAACATGCTTAACTAAATCCATTACTGTCTTTTATTTAGAATGTAACAACTATGAGCCGTTACAGATCTTACAAAGTCATTCAGCTTTATAACTATGGCCCTATGAAACTTTATGGGATACCCAAGTAACAGCAGATTATTAAAAGCATATCGGACGTCTACTTTAGTTTCACAACCACTTCCAGTGTTTTGGAGTCACTTCTTATACCCTGTGGTTTGAAAAGAAATAACTACTGCAGCTTCACTTTACCAATGCTACAATGTAATTTGGAACCTGATGTAAATATTTGATTCATATTCCATTGTTAATTAAAGTTCGTGAGTAAACTTATAGAATTGATGCTATTTCGTTTTATCTAGTTAGTCGTTGTAAGAAACTGGTGATACGCTAGCCCGTCAGCACCTAGTTGATATGTAGTAATTTCAAGTTAAGACAGTTGACTCAGTTACACATCCCAACAGTCACTGACGGGTCACTAGTATCGTTAGGGTACGTGCTCGTCAAAACACACAATACATGGAATTCGACAGGTTTTAAATAAACGGCAGGTGCAACTTCCGTTGCTCATATCCATTACCGGACATTGATGGCTGTCTACGAAGAACACAAAGAGCGACTGGCTATTTTTAATGTACATCAGTCCCCTTTTTTATAGTCTTTAAGGACTATAAAGCCAGCATAGTTGGTTAGCTTGCTTAGTAGAGGCATTAAGCAATCTTCAGCTTCGTATCTGCGTTTGTGCCTACAGCGTAAGATGGATTGTTGTGACATACGTTTGCCTAATTGCCTCTGCCATGTAAATGTCTTCCACATACATTTACTCAACGCTTCTCGGTTAGACAACTTTCTCTTCAGTTGTCTATGCGCAATTTCAACCCGGTTGTTAGTGTTGTTACCCAACGTAACGACATTGCTATTGAAAGCTGCGGCCCAAGTTTATTTCCTACTCATCTAGTTCTTGTTTAAGTAGACTGCAATGCGTCTGCTGCGTACACTGATTATGCGACGTGTCTGATTAAACTTAGATACTGATTGTTCACGCACCAGTTGTTATAAGTACTGCTTGAATATTGGATTGCAGGTCTTCCTACACATAGCTCTACACACGTGGAAAGAGCATAAAGCTATGTTGGAAGTATGGTGCGTTAATTCAACAGCGGATATGATGGATCTTGCACAATCCATTACAAACGCTTCAGCCTGACTTTTTCCATTCGTGATCTTTTTAAAATGATCCAGTATCCATACTACATCAACCTTCTTCTCTTCCTTGGTCCAAGCAAACATATCTGGGACTCCATGCCCGTAGTTATCTGTACAAACCAACTGAATGAGTTTATAACTAAAGATAATTAGTACGCAGGAAAATTTTACTTACCTTCCCCTGTTCGTGTTGTATGTTGAATCCAAACACACAATTTCAGGGGACCGTTTGTACGTTACGATTTGCTCGTGTGTGCTAAATGCTATCTTTGTGACCTGGTTAGCCACAACCCCATAAGAAACGAATAATTTTCCATTGTTCCGTAAGGTTACAACTATATCGTTTAAACTTCCACCACATAAAAAACCGTAGATACATGGGATAAGCTTACGTTCGACAAATTTATATTTTAAATTACTGACATAATGCACTGTTATTGTCTTTTCGAGATTTTCTTCTGCATACTTAACGATAGATTCAGCACTACTTCCAGTCTTAACCATCGGTAGAACAACCTTCATTTTATCTTCACTTAGTCTTCTGAACCAAAGATCATTTTTCAAGCACTTTTCATCACAAGGATGGATACGTATCATCCTCGACGACGATATGATGAACTGGTTCACAGCATAACGTAAACGAAACATGGCCTTCCAACCACCAAACTTTGATCTATGAAAAGTGAAAACAATAATAATAATCATTTAACCTTTTACTCTCTCACCACAACCCTCCGGCTTCTTTTTATGGCCAAAAGAACATACATACACTACATACTCATAGCGAATTTCCGGCTTTTCTTCGTTCAGCCTGCTTTCACGTACAACATAATGAGTTCAAGTCATCTATTACTTTTTAGACGGTGTATTATCAGTAACAAACCTTTTGCAACACATCGATAGCTTCCCTGACTTGGTCCCAGCTTGTCTGGTGCCTGGGTCTCATAATCGTTTCGAAAACATCACTGGTATCCACAGCCACTGGACACACAATATTAGTTTGACTGGTTGATGGAGTAGCGTGATCCATAATACTACAGAAAATAACAAATCTTTCATTCTGCCTGATAACAACAAATAACAGTTAGGAACGAATATGAGGCCAGTTACGGTCACATGCGGCAGCAACAATTATTTTATCTAAAGAAAACTAACTTCCGTTCTCTATATTTAAAAAACAATGCTCAAAATATAACGGATTAAGATTTTATGACGTAAGAAAAACGAC